TAATGTAATGTAATGTAATGTAATCTGTGTCTGTATGGCTGTATGTATGTATGCATGTATGCATGTACGTAGGTATTCATGTATGCATGTAAGTATGTGTGTATGTATGTATGTATGTATGTATGTATGTATGTATGTATGTATGTATGTAAGTATGCACGTACGTGTGTATGCATGTATGTATGTATGTGTGTATGTATGTACGTATGTATGTATGGATGTATGTATGTATGTATGCATGCGTGCATGGATGTATGTATGTATGACTGTATGACGTGTATGTATGTATGTATGTATGTATGTTTGTATGTATGTTTGTATGTTTGTAGGTAACTTGCGGCGCCAGCATTACGTAATGATATTATTTCTTGCTTCGAGCTTGACATGTGGCACTGGACGGCTTGGTTTCTGCACGGCCCGCATCAGGCTTCGGGTTGCGTGTTCAGTGGTTTCTCATAGGAGGCTGCATTCAGGACCTGAGAGGCATGAGCGGATGCACTATAGTACGTAAGAAGCTTAAACTTCGACATTCCAGCACTTTATTGTCCTGAACCTTGGTTTCTGGGGTGGTTCGTTGGTTCAGACACCCCCTCGGAGGCTTGTGCTGCCCTCCAGTGGGGATTTAGGCAGTCTAGGTTGGATGGACCGCGGACAGACAATTGCCAAACTCCGGTTTCCAGAGTTTGGGGTTGTGGCATAGGACACCGCTGGCTTCGCCCGGACTCGAGTCGCAGCTCTGTTTGTTGAGGTTTATCCAAGTGCGCAAGTGTATCCCACTGACGACAACAAGCCAAGTCTGGGCAGCAGAGTCAGCACTTGGCAGTTAGAGGGAGTTGGCGCCAAGGCATGAACCCAAGACTAGAAGACCAGAACTCGCCCGGCTTTTTCCAGGCCGTCCTGCAGGGTCTCTGGAAGGAGCCTGCTGTCGCGGCAACTCTCCGATTCAACTTCGGCCACAAGCTTGACGAAAGCTTCAATGCGCAGTGGCACAAGTGGGAGGTTGAAGTTCCCGGTTTCTGGTCGGTTGAAACTACATGGCTGAATCCAGGCTTTCCTTCTGGGTGACTCACTCTTGGTATGGGGGGTCGGTTTAATTAGGGCTCTTTATCGCCCCCAGATTGCAGGACCTTTATAGATCTTCGTGTGTAGGACCATGTGACCATCACAGATCGTCGGAAGATTTGTTGTGGTGTGTTGAGCGCTTGCAATTGAGCAGGAAGAGCTTTAGGGGTGAGAGTAAGGGATTTTAGAAGCTACGCTTCAGCCCAGAAACGCAGCGTTAGAGGCAGTAGTACTGTCAGACTTTGCTATTGAGCGTTACCAACATGTGTAGCACCATCACAGGTTTATTTTTGTGCGCAGTATGATTGCTACTGTTGCTGCTTTGACGGTGAGTCAATTGCCAGCACGAGTGCGAGCATCGTCACTGCTATGAGTCCTCGCATTTATTTGCTTGTTTGTGTACACATTAAGTGTTTGCATGATCTTGTGGTAGTCTGATGATTGCCGAACATTGTTGTTACAAGTACTACTACTACCCCTTTTAATTATGTACATCTACTAGAAATGTTACTGCTATCATTTTGACTGCGAATTACATTTGTTCTATCACTACAAGTCAGTACTTTTGCACCTATGCTGAGCGCCGTACGCAGTATTGGGTCACTTTATGCGTGCATATAATAAAGGCGGTATGTCAATCACACACTTGACCTAACCCTGCAATACGTCAAATACATGATAGAAAAATACGCTTATATACATACATATGTATATATACATATATATATATATATCCAACTACGCAGTCCGTGTTGTATAGGTTCTTTCTTTGCACATATGAATGTGTGTATCTATATTTACATAGACTTGTTTTGTACTTGCTAACACGGAAAGACCCCAGGAGGCTCAAGCAGCGATCGCATTCCTTCAGCAAGAGACTCTGGGTGGCAGTCTCTTTGGCGCCGTTTACTTCTTGGGCGCCGGTTTAGGGTTTAGGGTGCCCCTCTCATAATGCCCTTTGAGGCTTCAGGGAAGCTTCAGGTTCTGGTGCAGCACGTCAGCTCGAGTGGGGATATGTCGTGGTCTATCCTTTTTCTGCATAGGCTTTTCCCGAGTATGGGCTGTTCCGGCTTGCGAGACATCCTGGAGACACTCTTCCTCACAGTTAATATGGGGCCTCAATTAATTACCTACAGTATTTTGGGGGGTTCCTTGTTATGGTTACAGTATAATATGCCCCAAAACCCTATTCTAATTATTAAGGCCCCTACATGACTTAGATCAGGGATGGTCAGGGCTTTCTGTTCTCTGCAGAGCACACTTGGCCTGCAGTTCTTCCCTTGAGTTGTAGTTCGTGGTCTAGTGAGTCTAGTGTAGGAGTCGAGAGCTCCTGAGGGTGTGGAATTTCTCGGTGCTAGACTGAATGCCTTGAGCCGTAGCTACTGATGGCGGCCAGTGCCTTTTAGGTGTTGGGCTTGGGGCCGTAAGGGTGTCGGGTTCATAGTTCGGCTTGCCCCCGAAGAGAGCCAGCCTACATAGCCGGGCCTAAACAACCCCATCCCCAGCTCCCTGTCGACCATCAAAGTTCAAGGCGTAGGGCAAATCCTAGACCAAGAACGCTGTGTTCAGGTAGTATCGAGTTCAGCCCTATGTAACGAGGCCACGTACATCCACAGTCGTCTGGCCGAATTGAGCAAAGCCTTACGCTCTTTGTATTGGTTCCTGCAACCCTGTAAGCTTGAGGCCTCGGGTGTTTGAGGATATGGGTCTAGGTTTGTATCTGGCAGCGGCCGAGGACGGGAGTGAAGGCTTGGGCGGGTGTTGGCTACTCCTACGGCGCGGCGATTCTCGCCGAGTTGCTGCCACCCGACTCGCACCCGCACAAGGAAAGGATTGGAAAACCCCGAGGTGGTGTTGCCTTCAGAACGCGATACCCTAAGCGCCCTAAACCCTTAGCCCGAATCCGATGCATCTGATGATTTTTGCTTTCGAGCCCAGAGTGGTTGCAACTCTTGGCGAGACCACTTCCGGCGTGGTGAAAATGCTCACAGAGAAGACATTCTGCAGCAGGGGATAGTTACTTAATCACTGTGAAGAAGTTAAGTTGGCTTCTAATCGGTACAAGTACATCGACGGTGATGAAGCATAAATTGCCACTTCCAAAGACATGACGTGCCGGTACACCCCATTGATGACCAAAACAAATTAGATATTTGCCACGACTTGCTATGTGTACCACCTGCGGTTGCATGCCGAAACGACCAAGTTGCCGTGGAACGACCACCACAACGAGGCTTACTCAAAACTATACGAGGATGCGACGCTGTCGTAAGAAGGCTTCTACACCCCCAAAAAATCAATTTTACTCGCATGGTGAGTGGCTTTTGCTACGGATGCTCACGTCCCTGCCGCCATTCAGTGCTGGAATGCCCGTCCAAGGCAAGTCGGCTGGGCCCACAGGATGCCAAGGGACATTGACTTGCAGTCTACGATGCTGTCCCAGACCAGGGGCTGCTACACATGCATGTTTTGTCAGGCTTCTACCACATCTTGCTACAATGGGGCGGAACTCAGAAATGCGAACCCCTCACACCTTGAATCCCCTAATCCCTAAACCCTAAACCCTCACAGCCCCTAAAACCCTAAAAGCCCAGGCTCAAGGCAGAATCGGAGCCTCCTACGAGTGCGGTGCTGCTGGCACCACCCCTTTCCATGCTGCCGAACTTCTCGCTGGCACCTTTGAGGCTGCCACATGGGTACCCGTAGGCCCCATAGTAGTTCCTTTTTGGGATTACCTAATGGGATTCTAAATATTAACCCCAAAAAGGAACTACTATGGGGCCTATGGCTATGGGTAGTTCTCCAAATTCGGGTCCCTTTTGAAGTCCCTGTTATAAGGGTGCCTGCCGCACTATTTTGGGGACTCTAAAGGGACCTTAATTTAAAGAACTACCCACATGACTAGGGTGCAGGCTTCATTCTTGAATGCTCATACGCGCTGCATTGGATCTTGTCGAGCAGAAGTTTGGTTGATCTAGTACTTCCTCTCGTTGAGTGCCATATGGCCTGAAATCAGACTTGTAGATTTTGGGGATGCTTTGGATGTACGGTCAGAATTGAATCATCAGGAGATACTCCTACAGGGACTCCGAAGACCCTAATTTTTCGGCCCTAATTCCATAGCCCACGCTCTAGCCTCCCTGACCCCTCAAGCACCTTACACTACGTGAAACGCTACGGCGCCGTAAACTCGAACCCGAACACACTTGAGTTTCTAAGGCCAAGTCTTTCAACTTGAAAGCCGAATCCCAAGTTTCCTGAGACCTGTCTGAATAGTTGAGTGTCGAGACTTCCTCGGAGTTTGTAGGAGTCTATGTGTAGGACCCCAAACCCTACACCCGTAGGGGGTCTCGGGTCTAAGCGCTTCAGAGCAACATTCTAGCTTCGGTTTGCCTATGGCATGGGCCTTTGCAGGCCAAGTCAAAACGGCAGATCGTAGCCGATTGAAAGATCACATTCTATCAACTAGTATAGTCAATGCAATATAATATATTTTGGGATGGTATAGTATATAAACGGTGCGACATAAATCCTTAGTGCAGGCCCAGATCGGTTGGACCCACAACTTTCACAAAGCCTGAACCCGAACTCCCGAACCCCAAATCAGTTTTTCCGAGCCCCAACCCAACTGAAACCAGTCGTGGCCTTCTATCCTGAACCTCTTCCCTCTAGCCTTCTACACAAACGTCAATTTCGCAATCCAAACCCTTCCACTTGTATTCCTGATATTGTTGGAGCCTTGTCCAGATGTCGGTGACAAGTCAGGCCCGTGCAAAAGCTCGTATAGCAGCCCCTATCGCAACCCCTATACCGTAAGCCCTATGTGTCAGGCCTTCGCTCTCTCGAGGGCTCGCGGTGGCCCTGATCGCCGGCACACGTCCCCTAGACCCGGCTTAACATTGGTAGGTCGGGTTTGCTCCGGCCCTCTTTCCGAAACTCCCAAAAAACAGCAAAGTCCGAAACTCCCGAAAAACGGCAGAGGAGAGGTTGCAGCTGGATTCCGGGGCTTGTCCTAGAAGTTGTATATAATACCCCCCCCCCCCCCCACCTACAGTCCATATATACTTGCAGTACAGGGTAGCCTGTATAATCGTAGTCCTACTTGAGCCCTGTATGCTACAAAACCTTTCTGCAAAATCCAGACAACTTTGTTTCATCTTAAGGCATCTGTTTCTAAGGGTGCCGGTATTTCTCCGGATAGGACTTGGCGTGCTAGTGTGACGGAGCAGCCTCACAGAAAGGAAGGGCTTTGGGTTGTTGTTTGGGGGTTTAGGTTGTAGGATTTGACTCCGGGTTTACATGTTGGGTTTGGGGGGTCTAAGGTAAAGGGCATGCGGTTTAAGGGTAGGGTGTTCCGATTTGTTTCGCCGGACTGCTTAGGCAGAACTGCTAGAGAACTCAAGCAAGAAAAGACCCTGTCAATTGGATCCGAGTTTCGAAAGCCCAAACTCTGAGCCGTAAAGTTTCTGACTGGTAGGAAGGGCACTGAGATTTTTTGGTTGTTGCTGGTTTATTGAGTCTAAGAAGTCTGTATTAACGAATAATGCGCACAGGCTGTAAAGCCGTTGATCTCAAGCGTCCAAGCCGAAACCTTTCAGCCCGAACTCCATACCGGTGTAAGGGTAGTGCTTGGGGTTTAGGCTTTATTGTGAAGGATTTAGGAATTTCAGGGTTAGGGTAAGGTGACGTCAGAGCGGAAGAGACAGATAGAGAAAAGGCAGCGAAACAGCGCCCTGAGCTCCAGACATCAACGCCAGGTGACGACTTCTGCGAAGCCGAGCAGCTGCGGCAGGTTCACGGCGAGCGCCGCTGCCGCACCATCCCGTAAATATGGTGGTCGGAATAGTTAGTAAGACACACGATGTATTCATAGTTCCGAGTACATGTTTGTTAACCTTTACTACAGTATACGCCAACGCCCCTATTCAAAGTTTGATCTATCGTTATGAGGGCCCTGCATAACCACTTGGAGGTTCATGGGTAGCTATCAGTGGAGATATAAGTCCCCTAATATGGGTTATAAGTACAGTTGCCTTACTTATAACCCCACTTATAACTACCCATGAACCTCCAAGCAGGAATCGCAAGCCCTTCCGGAAGCCTTTCTACCGGCAGCAGCCACTCCTTCATCCTGCGCTTTCCGTCCCGGTCTGCCAAAGAACTTTAGGGTGTAAGGGTTTAGGGTGTAGGGGTTTATGTTTAGGGATTTGGGTTTAGGGGTTTGGGTTTAGGGGTTTAGGGCTCAGGGTTCTACACCCTAAACCCTAAACCCTAAACCGAACTGCCGGCCGGCGCACCGTCTTGGGAGCTTTGGGCATGAGAAAGAAAGCCAGAGACTGGGACCCAGACATGGGAGTTTCAGAAAATAAGGGGTACCTTATTTAGGGGTCCTTATAAAAAGGATCCTACTATTTAGGGTACTATATTAGGGTCCCCTAATTTTGGAAACCCCCACATGCCTCATAACAACTCAGCGAAGATAGTGTGAGCGGGTGCTAACACCGCCAAAACTTCCGATCATGTGCATATGGGCAAACATATTGGAGCCCTAAACCCTAAACCCTACACCCTAAACCCTAAACCCTAAACCCTCGCCTGTGAGCATAGTTCTCTGCCATGCGAGAGGGAAAAACCGTGAAAGTTGAGCATCCGAGGCTCCTGGACCCCTCGTTCCCGCAGCCGCCCCGACTGGAGTTGATCGACAGCTGTGACGCTTGAACCGCTTTAAAGAGCCTTTTCCGTCTTTGGGTGTTTCGGGGTTAGGGTTTAGGGTTTAGGGCTTTCTAGGCCTTTTCCGTTTGTTTTTGGGGCGTTGAGGGCTGGTATCAGAGGCTTTTGCTGAAGACAGTAGGGGAAGGAGGTGCCATCTCGACTGCACCACGACCAACCTGGCACACGAAACAGAGATCCCCAAACCTACACGTAGAGGTATCAATAGCAGGATCTTTATGCCAAGTTTAAGCAGTCTCCGTGGAGAATGGAGTAAACGACTCGCTGCTCCTGCGCCGATGGAGCATGCTTTGTAAGAAGTAGCACAGATTGTCGCCATAATTCTGATCCGGATGACTTTTAAGGACCACTTCTTTGGAAATCCGCATCACCTGGCTGCTGCTGTCGAAGCTGCTGTCCAGGCAACTGAAGAGACGCAATGTCTGAATGCACACTACGGGTTGTTCGGGCTTCCCGGCGTTTGAGCTCCCTCAGTCAAGCCCAAACTTGATAAAAAAGCCTCCTAGAAGACCTGTAAGACCCAATCCTACATGACACATCCCACGGCCCTTGTCACCCATCGTCGTGCAGAAACCCCACAACCCTCCATCCCGTACTTGTTGTGGCTCCCGATGCCCTGGAGCCCCCAAGCAGCTCCAAGCCTAAGCCCGACCCAGAGGTGTTGGTGCGTTCTGCCGCTGTAAGCACGGGGCTGCGCACACCGCTGTGAGCAACGGACCGGCCGTGATGAAAACAAGGAGTGCTCTCAAGTGTGGAAAGATAGATTCTTAGATATCTATATCTGTATCCAGATCTATAGCTATATTTATTGATCCATCCATCTACCTGTCGTTCTATCTATCTATCTATCTATCTATCTATCTATCCGATCATCTATCTATATCTGCCTATCGATCGATCTATCTATTGATCTATCTATTTATCCATCTATCGATCTATCTGTCGATCTATCGGTCTATCTATCTATCTGTCTATCTATCTATCTATCTATCTATCTATTTACCAGCCTATATATATATATATGTGTGTGTGTGTGTATGTATGTACACAGGGTTTGCGGGATTCCAAAGATGCAAGGCTTTAGGCCTTCCATGCTTTGGGGGCGCTTATGATCCTGAACAGGGGCCATGTGACGTGGATTTGGTAGGGTGGAATGTGTTGTTCATCTTCCCCACAATGCGCTGCATAGGGTATACTGCTGGCATTACTGCTATCATTACTCCTATTTCTTATCAGTTCTAGTAGTATTATGATGATGATGAGTATGTTACTACCGTGACTATTACTACTATTACATGGTGCCCGGAATTTAGAACAATTGGTTTGCGGAACCGTCTTGGTAATCATAGTCTTTGCAGTCTTGGTCAAAAGCGAGATTGCCAGCAATCTTTGTCATCTTGCCCCACCTGCAAGATTGCGTTTGGAAACTTGTTTTTGATGTTACTCTTCTAATTTTGTCGTTATGAAGAATTGTTCAGTTTGGCATCATCAGGACCCGAAGCCCTTTTTGAAGGTTGTCGCTTACTAGATGGGAAGAGTGGGACGACCGTTCATTGCTTCACGGGGCGCTTGGTATACAAACTACTCTTTGTCATAGACATTTGGTAGGCACCACCGCATACGAACTGATTTCGAGCCTTAGAAGCCTTGGAATGCGTTCTGTGGCACAGCTGCAGCCTAAACCGATGCCCATTTTATCAGCTCCTCCTGAAGGTGTTGAAAGGCCTGTTGGGCATCTACTCTGCTTATCATGTTGGTCCTGACTTGAATTCAACTGAGGCTTTTTGGAACAATAGGCCGATTAAAGCTTTGGAACGGCTGAGGCGTCTCCGTCGGATCTTTCCTGCACGGAGCCTCCGGGAGAGCCTGAAGGAGAGGGGCCATATGGTGATGCCTACAAGGGTTCTATAAGGGCTATTCGAAAGTTTATCACAAAGGGTTGCAATAATGGCTATATGAGATGAGGTCAAAATTATC